CAGACGGGCAGGAGGGATGTGGGATGTGGGGGTGGGTTGTCAGAGGTATGTAGGATGGGATTGGACTGCGTGGGTGATGTTGGAGATCAGGTACCCGTTGCCAAGTGGGTTGATGTGAAGTCCGTCGGGTGTGAAGAAGGGGTAGCGGTTCCAGAACAGATTAAAATTGTCTATAAAACCAAAGTTGTGATGGAGTGATGTTTGATTGAGCCAGGTGTTGAGTGATAAAATCCTGCTAAAACGCTCCCTGCCGCGGTTCAGAGTGGGCAGAGGACCAGAGATAAAAACAGTTTTCCCTGAGTTTGATAAAAGGTTAAAAAGATCCTTAAAATGGCGTTTTGTGGTCTCGGATTGGCGGAGAGAAGCGTCATTTGTGCCGACATGAATTATGATCCGGGTTATTGTGGAGGGTGCTGTCTGAATAAGTGCGGGTAGTTTAATGAGGATGGTGGGGACTGTGGCTCCAGAAAAACAGTGTGTGATGGCATTAAAAAACTTGCAGTGTCTGATAATAGAATCCCCCACCAGGAGCGTGGTTGGTGCAAACAGGGGCCGCGGAGGGGAGGGTGTGACTGGGGTGGGACCTGGTGGAGAGCAGGGGACAGGAGAGCCTTGGGGGGTGCCCGGAGCAGAGCCGCCACGAGCGGCAGTGGAGCAGGGTGGAGGATCCGGAGACCGAACTGACTCCACTGTGGCCGGGTTGGTGGTTGTGGTAGTGTGGGCGATCGTGGGAGGGCCGCGCACCGGGCGGGGGGATCCACCAGGCGAGGTGGCATCTGCGGGGGAACTCCTCGCCGTGCAACAGCGCAGAGACCCCCCCGCGAGTGAGGCAGCGTCCACTGGAAGAGTCCGCGCCGTAATGGAGCGCAGACACCCCCCCGCGGGCGAAGCAGCGTCCACGGGAGGAATCTGCGCCGTGATGTAGCGCAGAGACCCCCCCGCGGCCACCTCAGCATAGGACCTGCTCTGTGCGGTGCCTCTGGTCGCCTCTGGTTGGTCCTGCGTGACACCCGGGGAGCCCCGCGCTGTTTTAGAGCGTGGGAAGCTCCCCGAGCGTCTGCGCACAGCCTCTTCCACCAACCTGCGACGTGAGGACACTGTGGACGTTCTGTGGTCTCCAGGCTTCTGCTCCGCGCCGTTCTGGGTATGGGCAGCAGGCTCCGGGACCGTAGAGGAGGGAAGAGCACCGGGAGGGACAGGAGGAACAGCCGCAACCGGGGAACGTGAGGTGAGGACCGGGGTAGAGCATGATGAGGGGTGAGGACAGGTGATGGGATCCCAAAGAGCAGTGTCGTGGAGTGTGGTAGTGAGCTGTGAGTGTCTGAGTACGGAGAGGGATATTTGCTGTGACTGCTTGAATGAGATGTCCATGAAATGTTCCAGAAGTTTCTCTTTATGTTTGAGTTCTGTGGATAGTTGTGTAACACTGCGTTGAAGTTCCTCGGGGGTCATTGCGTTTACTGGTTTGGATGGAAGAATTGAAGCAAGTTGTGATTTGTATATCTGTTTGTATGAGTTCTCGGGGGGAGCAGCGGTGTCCATGGTGGCGTATGTGGGCAGGCTGGTTACCGCGGTAACTGTTAAAAGGCTGATATACAGTCCAGTTAAAAGTGACAGTAATCCTGTTGTGGCACAACCTGTTAAAATCCGCTTAATCCATCAGTTGTTACGAATAAAAACAGTAATAAAAGCTTAGTTTTAAATGTTTTTGCCTTTGTATTGAAACTGTTTTAGCTGATCGATTTCACAGTGTCAATTGTTCCCTGTACTTAAAGGAGCAGTATGTAAAGATCTGGCCAAAATTGGTACTGCACTCTCTCTGATTCCGGTTTTGTCAACAGCACATCTATAACCAACACCTTTTTCACAAATATAGAAATCCTCTTTTTATTCTTTGTTTTGTCTATGTTGATTTGAGAATCATAAAGATGGGCGACAGTAGCTCAGTTGTTGAGCATTAGCATTTGAGCCAGAAGGTTGTGGGTTCGAGCCCACATGTGAAGCGCCTTTGAGTGAGAAAAAAAGCCCTATATAAAACTGATGCATAATTATTATTATTGAAGAGACCTTTTTCAGTTCTGCGGCCACATGTTACAGTGAGATCAGCTCAATATGGTGAGTTCTGGAAATCTGGATCACAGACTTTCTGATTGGTTAAACGGTGGAGGGCGGGACATCGAAATGAAAACAATAACAAGATTAGGGGCTGTAAAACTAATTTTTAAATCCAAATATCTCTGAACTACTGTAATCAGTTACATAAGTATTTTTGGGCCATTTCATGATGACTTGCTATTAAAAATAAAATAAAAAGTCCTGTACTTCTTTTATTTATGTACTTGTCTTGTGCACACTGGGAACTTTTGCAATTGTATTCCACTGTGGTTTTACTGCAAATGCCAAACAAAATGAATCTGAATCCACGCTTTTTATATCACACTATTTAGCAACAACAAGAATAAGTGCTCGAGTTATTTCACTCCCTGCGTTTTCACCGGTTAAGGAATGCTTTTAACCAGCTAGACTGCATTCTTCCACCTCGCCATCCTTTCCGCTTTGCCAACTTATATAACTAAAATCACAACAGCGGAATATCGCCCTAACTCCATAGGGCCAGAGGCATCGGCGCTCCCTGGGTATACACAATCCATAACATTGACAATAGAATTTCCCCTTTGAGTAAGTGCGCGTCATTAACACTAAGCTTAAATCCCTTATGAGAACTTTATTGAGTGAAGTCACATTGATTTGACAGATGTGCTATTCTTCCAGGCTGATGATCATTGCTCCTGCCGCGAGAAGGGCTCTGCCGCTTTACTGTTGAGTACGATCGCTCCCCGTAGACATTATACCGTATTAAGTGATAACCCTGATGGTAAAATAACATCCTATCCGTCGGCTCTTCATTTATTAGCGCTGACAGTAAACTAGATTGGTGGCATCGGGGAGGGCACGCCGAAGAGTCGCGAGTGCGCACCTTTTCAAGCTTTCCTAATCTGCCGTGGGGTTTTAATCAGACGCTACGGTGCAAAAAAAATAAAAAAGAGTTTGAGAGATGGTGAGGGAGGAGTGGAGGAATGGGAGAATGGGTTGTGCAGCAATAGAAGCAGGATTGCAAATGCATTAGCAAAGGTTTTTCTGGGTTTTTTCCCTCAAATTGGTGATCATACTCGGAACAGTCTCACATATACTCACATTTATTTATCTGTGTTGTAAATATTATCCTATACTTGCGCTATAGCACGACTGGTTGGATGCTAAACTGCATTTTGTTGCGTTGTTCTGACTTTGTAATGACAATATGTTTGAATCTAATCTAATACTATAAAGCCACACTGCAAAAAATTACTAAGTATGAGGTAATATTTGCTTGATTCAAGTGGTTTTAATCTTAATTTGAGTACATTCTGACTGTCTTGAAACAGTATTTGACTTTTTGCAGAGTACTGTACAGCCAAGGCAATGTAATGAAATGTGATTCGTCTGTAATACTGGACGAATGGCAAAACTTGTCTTTTTTGGTTGCAATTTATAAAACACAAACATTAGAGGTTGGGGGAGGGTTAGTGATAAAGTATAATGCAAAAAGTACAAAACATTGAGTCTATGATTCACATTCGTTGAACCGTCACCGTACTGTCACTGTTTATAAAGTCCAGACACTTTTCCCAGTTCTTCCTGGAGTCTAAACGTGTAGGTCATCCGCTCCATGAGTTTAATTTGTTCCACAATTGAAAGGAAAAGATTTACAGTGGGTGGATGTTTGAATTAAGTAGTTTTTGAGTACATTCTGACTCTCTGAAAGCAAGATCTGCCAATGGGACAAGCCATTTTGCCTTATTTCAAGGACTTTTTTTCTCATTCCAATGAAAACTTTTCTTCATCACCATTTTGCTTGTCCCATCGGCAAAACTTCTTTAATGGCAGTCAAAATGTGCTCAAATTAAGAATCATTTTGCCAAATTTTAGCAATTCAAGACATATTTTCCATCACTTTTTGCTGTGTACTGTAAAGCCAAGGATTTATAATACTAAACGATTGGTTTAACTTTTCCGTCTTGTGCAAATGTCCTGAATAATTTAGAATCTTTTAGTGCGTCTTTTATTATAGAGTCTTTATGTTGATTTAATGCAGACTTTTCTTCTGCAGGCTCAAACAGTTTCAAAGCCGATTACAGACGATAAAGATCCACACTGATATAACGTGGACTGGCTTTTAAGTGCTGGACTGAAGACATTGAGGGGAATTTGTAATCTGTCGTATGCATGAATTTGGACAATTATGAGGAAAATATAAAAGTACGGAAACCCTCTTATATGAACTAAAATGCCTTTATTAGTTTTAGCCTTTGCCAATATATACATATATTACTGAGTCCCATCCCTAACCCAGCCAGAAAACCTTCACCAAGGGTCAATGTTAACTAGGAAATTAACTTTCCTAGTTGACTTTCAATAAATGTAATAAATACAAATTTACTATTGCTTCCATGGCAACAACACCAATTGTAGGACCACTTTTCTCAATCTTTTTTTTTATTATATTGATTTTTATTTTCATTTTTTAAAATCTTTTTTGCTTTTTTCATCAAGGTTATACCAACTTTTCCAGACCCCTTGAGTCTAGCACAACGCAAGACATTGTTCAATCTAGTCAGATAACAGAAGATTAGATGATATTTCTCAACAACTTAAGTATTATTTTTATGTTTTCTATCTTGACCATGCTTTCTTTGGCCATAATCCATTTGCAATTGATCAATACGTCAACAATAACTGGTTGGACAACTGGAGGAAACGACGCAAAATATTAAATGGAATCACCCACACACCAAATGAGTCAAATTGTTGAAATGTATGTGAAAAAAGCAAAGAAATCAAACATTCTTCCAGATTTTGAGAACTGGTCTTTACTGTTTACTGTGTGAGTGGCTTTTCTCACCAACCCCAAACCTCATACTTGTAATATTAGTATAAGTATATGTAGGTATTGCTCTTACCTTGGTTGTGTTTCTTGGCGAGTACGGCTGAAGTTTACAGGCAGCAATAGAGCCTCCAAATAACTACTGTCATGTGTCCCCGTGCCATTTGAAGTGTTTCGGGCGTGCCGTCTAGTCAAACAGGTCTGGGACGACTCATGTAACAGGTCCTATTGACAACAAACAATGATTTTTGTTTCAGGAGGCGGAGTGAGGATTTCCTTGGAATGTATTACAAGTATTACTTTTTGTAACAAAAGAGGCTTTTCAGGGTTCTTTTTTGACAGACACAGAGTCCATACAATTAATGTATTTGTGAAAAATATGGAAAAAAATCACGTTGACAGTGACTTCGAAGGGATTTATGAACTCAAATTTGCATGGTCAAATAAGAAAAAACTGCTCATGGGATTGGACTGAATGAACGTATGTATGTATCAAAATATTCCCTGTCTTGGATTCTTCCTTATTTAATGAAATAAAACAAATCCACTAAGGGAAAAGAGAGATCATTCTTTATGCGTCCCACAATCAGGAAGTTTCAGTTAGATGAATACACATACACACATCAAGGCATGCAGTGTGCAATTACTTCTGCGTTCCTTACGAGCAAAGTATGGGGTACTGTCTTATGGGGGTATTGTCTTGCCCAAGGACACCACGGCAGCCGACATCAGTGGCTCGAACCCACAACCTTACCGGCCCAAAGTGGAGGACATATATCGACTGAGCCACTGTTGATATATACTGTATACTCATGGACAGGCTATATGTGGCATGTTTCTGATCCTGAGGCAGACTGCTCCTCGGATGGTGCTTCCTCGGCTGGATTCGGTCACAATCAGCCTCAATGTTATTCAATGTTTTAACAATTATATTTTGACGCATGTGTGTGATTGTGTGTGTGCTTGTGTAATTTGGAGTAAGATTGTTGGGTTGGTGGGTCATTAATGTGTTTTTGAATTAACTATAATATAATCTAAGATAAAAATACAAATTAAGCTTATAGTGAATGAATGTGACAAATTTGTAATGTCATGTTTTTTTTTATTTTTTTATAATCCATTTACAAGGAGCATATACTAGGAATATCTTCACCAATTTCTTAATGACATTGGGTAAAAAATCCATATCATTGAAAAAATCTGGTGGTTTTTGTACTTATTTTTTAACATTGATACCCTTTTTATTATTATTTCCTGATGTAGTTTCATTGCTGGTTTTAGTATTCGATACCTCTTGATACTTTTAGCAACCCTAGCTTATAATGACATTTCTTATTCATCACAACATACTTCAATCAATCCCATTTATTTCCCAGTTGCTTGTCTAATCTGATTGGTCGACGCCCATATAAGGAGGCCTTCCTGTATCCTGTCGAGACTGTCCTTTCTGATATATAGCATTAAATCAGCATGTATAGAAGTTGTGCGTCTGGTTCATTTTGATAATGTATTCTAACGCACTTCTCTCATGACAGATGCACAAAGCAATCCCACCTTTAGCACCGCAGCAATCAACTTCCATTAACTAAATAATTACTAAACACGAATCCATTATTTGCCTCATGGCCCACTCCAAAATGAACAGACGTAAAATTGAATGGATGAAATGGCGTTGTTCAAAACATCTTCGTGCATTTGACAGCTTGTTATGCTTTATGTTTGTTATCTTTTATTCATAAGCAAATATCACAATCGTTACTGTCTCCGTCTCTGTATTAAAGGAATTACAAAATTCAGCCTGTTCAGATTTTTTTTAAACATATTTTACAAAACATATGTTTCTCAAATATAATGGTTTTTGAAACAAAAACAATGTAATTTAATAATTATTTGGGTTGTTTAAGATTAAGATGAATACATATAGATTAAGATCCTACATTTGCCCCACAGTGAGGAATTTTCAGTGTTGCATTGCAAGTTACAGAACAGTAGGAATGAGGAGCTTAAACACAAGATAAGTGAATAATAATGTTGGTTTTGACTCAAGGACTTCCAGAGCATTTTGACCGCTCCCCTTCAAATCAATGGAATTCTGAAAAAATCCCAAAAAAAATGTTGGTTTTCCACTTATTGTATTGACAGTATAAATATGTTTTAAGGTATTTACTTATAAATGGTATAACTGGTGAAATATAATTTGAAATGTAGCAAAACAGTAAGCCAAAGAGCGGCAAAATTCTAACTGCTCCAAGTAAACAGTATGTTGCTATGGTAACTTACACTTTTCATTTCAGGTGGAAAACCAAGCAAAACCAGGACCAGTCCAGAACCAGCACCTCAGACAAAAGGGGTTTTAAATCGTCTCATTTTTGGTTGACAAGAAACCAAAAATGGCTATATTTGATTTTTACATTGAAATGAAAAATTGAAACCCATCATAGCAGCTGTATTAAAAAAACATAAAAACAAAACAAAGAAAAGTCAGTCAAAATCGACTGCTCTGGGAGTTCTAGTGTTGAAGAACTTGTTGTAAAATATTGTATGTCATCAGTAATGTCATCAAAGACGTAATGGAACTATTTTTAGCACGTGAGTAAGCCCCGCCCCCATGAATCAGCAACACGCACTCAACACAGGCAAGAATTACCACAGTGTGAGAGAACATTTGACGACATAGAAAAAAACATTCAATTTACAAGAGCATATACTGGGATTCTCCGATTGTCAGCGGAACAGAACAAACAAGTCTTTAGATTAGTCTTGATGCTATTGGGCAAAAATCTAATCACAAGGAGCCTACAGTGGGATTCTCCTATTTTCAGATTTAAACAAGAACCATGCGTTGCACCCAGTGGGGGCGGTTCCTGGCTCAAAAGTGGCCAAAATGGCGTACGCTGACATGCTTGCAATACCACCCCTTGCCGATGGGGGTGGACCCGGAATAAGAATTAGCCAATGCTAACATATAGCATCTTCTTACCTCTCGAAAACACCTTTACAGGATGGTCCAAAAGTTGGCTTTTGGCCCAAAGCTCCGTTCCACATTTGTGTCAATGCTGAGGGGGGTGAATTTTTTTGGAACAGTCTAGTTTACTTGCTGTGAATTTTTGCAGTCACTCGTTTAAATGAATGGGGCTCATGCCGGCTGACGCATGCGCAGATGTGTTTTTTCATTTTCTAGCCCCAGCGTCCATTTTGAATCACTCCATGAGAGCCCACTTTTTAGCCCATTAGTTAGAACGGGGGAAATAGGCGTGACTACGTCCATTAATATATACAGTCTATGGTTGCATCCTTCTCGTTTTGTCTTTATCAATGCACAGGGGGGTAGCACCAAATTCTGGGCCCCGGGTACAAACAGTCTCAATGGGCCCCCACTACACGTTTCTTATATATATATATGAAGAAGATGACAAAGTCTGGGATCGCGTCTTTAATTCAGACAGAAGACATGTTTTATTGTCGATGGTAGAGACAGCATGAAAAACAGATACAACAGAATGCAAGTGTATTATACAGAGCGGAGGCATGGAGACCTCCAATCAGCAGCTGCCACGGTGCCATGAAGCTTGGCCTTCAGATAGACAAAACAAGGGAAAAGTACTGGCTTCTGCACATTGATAGAATGATGAGTTTAACCTTAACAAAAGTTGCTTCAAAGTGTTATGAAATCTCACTATATATATATATATATATATTGTCCACTCACCTTTGGCCCTCCGCGGGCGGTTATCCCTCTCTAAGCTCGGGTCCTCTACCAGAGGCCAGGGAGCTTGAGGGTTCTGCGCAGTATCTTTGCTGTTCCTAGCACTGCACATTTCTGGACCGAGATGTCCGAGGTTGTTCCGGGGATCCGCTGTAACCACTCATCTAGCTTCGGGGTCACTGCCCCGAGTGCACCGATCACCACGGGCACTACTGTCACCTTTACCCTCCAGGCCCTCTCCAGCTCCTCTCTGAGACCTTGGTATTTCTCAAGCTTTTCATGTTCTTTTTTCCGGATGTTACCATCGCTTGGAATTGCCACGTCCACCACCACGGCTGTCCTCTGCCCTTTGTCTACCACCACGATGTCAGGTTGGTTTGCCATTACCATTCGGTCGGTCTGTATCTGGAAGTCCCACAGGATCTTCGCACGCTCATTTTCCACCACCTTTGGAGGAGTTTCCCACTTAGACCTTGGGGTTTCCAGCCCATACTCTCCACAGATGTTTCTGTACACTATGCCAGCCACTTGGTTATGGCGTTCCATGTAGGCCTTCCCTGCCAGCATCTTGCACCCTGCAGTTATGTGTTGGATCGTCTCAGGTGCCTCTTTGCACAACCGACACCTTGGGTTTTATATATATATATATATATATATATATATATATATATATATATATATATATAAAAAAGTTACTTATTTGTTATTGTACAAACATACAACAAAATACTTTTTATGGTTCATTATTATCCACCAATTTAGACTTTGTGGCAAAATTCAATCGATGCAATCTTTTTTTAAATAAGCCTATTCCATTTTCAACAAAACACCTGTGCCTAGCCTTACTCCGCCCACATGAACATTTGAAATTTTTCTGTAAAAATGGCACCAGTGGAGAAGAAGGGGGGCTTACAGTTGGGCATGGTCTGGGCTGTGATTGTCAGTTGTCATTTCTGGCTTAAAAGCAATAGTTTACACACCAGAAAGTCTCATTTCACCCTTTAGACCATTAGACTTATTTACATTATTTTGACCACTAGATGTCACCAGAAACCTCCAAATCGGTGCGGGGGCGTGTGATTTGTATGGTTATAACCAGATGATCCAATGCAGAGGCCAGTGAGTGACCCGTGACTTATGACTGCAAGACTCACGGACGGACAGATTATGACAATAGTGGGAATATAGGGTACAGGGTTGTACATGAAAATAACTCTTTGCTGCCTGCCTTTGAAGGAGAAGTGGACAGCAGTGTGTGTGAGCTCCCTTTACAGCTGAGCGTCTGTGTGTGTCACTCTGGATAACGTTTTTTTTTTTACCACGTACACGGCACAATGTTAGCTCTCCGTGAGTTTAGAATACAGAAACAAATGTCTCTGGGTTTTCTCCTGATGTGGCCTTAACACGTCTCTATATACTCACCTCTCGTGTGGAAGAACTGAGTAAGCAATTGCTTGCCCTCATTACACTTTTTCTCCCTGTCCTGTCTTTCTTTTCTTTTCTGAAATCCTGATTTTCCTTTCTTTGGAAAAGACATTTCTATTTTTCCCACTTCTGCCGCTGCTTGTCAAACAAGTCAACTCGCTGCAGCGGCAGCAACACAGCAACAAGCGCACATGTGGGTCGTACCATTTGATCTTTTGTAAGGGGGTGGCAGGGCCCTGATATAGCATACAAATTTGTTTTTAGAGGAAAACTGAGGTTAAAACGTTGGTTATTTTTATACAGGGCCCCTTTCATTCAAATTGTAATAATATGAATATACCACAAAGCCTAATACATATAAATATAAAGACACACTTTAGAGGGCCCCTCCCCGCCTTGGGCCCTGGGTACTCGGTACCCTTTACCCCCCCAGTCCGACGCCCATGTCAATGCATACATAATGAAGACAGTTATTGAAATTAATCCATTTGCAAGTGCACACAACTGAGGGATTTTTTATTTATTTTTCTCTTTCTTTTTAATGAACTGTGGTTATTTATGAATTTATGCCTTGCGTGATTGTTTTCTATTGTCCAGCACTTTGAGTTTTTAGGTTCGTTCCTTCAAGATCCTAAATTCTAATGCCACAGTCCAACTAAAACAGCAACAACCGTCAGCAAAGTTTCAAAAAGATCCCAGGTGAAGAATGTCACCACTGGAAAACAACTAAAGATGTATTTCTGTGTTGGCGTCAATGTTAACGTGAATAAAACATGTCCATAGGAGACCGTGTGTGAGGCCGCATGGATCAATAGTACCTGTCGCCCCGGTCCATCTCATCATGGACTCTCAACGCAGACTGCATCACCATGGCAACCCCCCAGGGACGACACGCCATGGTTTATGAACAGAGAGACAACAGGTGCCACACAACAGAGCGAATGCATCAGCGAAAGAGGGCCACGGATCCAGAGCAGGAAATCAAGTTGAGAATTATTGTGTAACCTTGTTATTGTGTAACTTATCAAACCTTTATTGGACTACACAATAAAATTGAAGTAGTTTCCCGCTCTCTAAACAGTAATAGTAGTAGTAAGTAATCTTTATTTATATACCGCCTTTTCACTGCAGATCAGAGTCTCAAAGCGGTTTACAATTGTTATTTTAGCGGTTATTTAACCCTAATCTGTCAAAAGGCATTAACAAAACATGCTCATCCATCCATCCATTTTCTTCTCCTTAATCCATTTCTGGGTCGGGGATGGCAGTCAGAGCTGCACCCAGGACACAGAGCACCAGCCCCTCACTGATCCTCCTGCAGGTGGTGAGTCCACAGGAGCTGAGAAATTTCAGTGGGGGCTTCAGGAAAAGTGGGGTTAAGTGTCTTGCCCAAGGACACAACGACAGTAGTCATCAGTGGGAATCGTGAAGTAGGTCTTACGGTGGGCTTGAACCTACGACCTTCAGGCCCAAAGGCCAATGCTCTTTTTCGTTAACTGATAACAGTAGTGCAGCCGAGATAGTGGAATTTCAAAGTTGGATTTACAGCCCCCAAATCTTGTAATTGTTTTCATATCGATGTCCCGCCCCCTGCCGTTTTACCAATCAGAAAAACGGTGGAGTTCTGGCAATCCGTGATCCAGGTTGCCAGAACTCACCATGTCGAGCTAATCTCACTGGTAAAGTGAGATTACGAGAATTAAAAAAGGTCTCGTTATGATTCTCAAATCATTAATGTCAAAACAAGTAAAAAAACCAGGATTTCTATCTTTGTGAAAAAGGTGCTGGTTATAGATTTGTTGTTGACAAAATTCTTTATTCAGATAAGATACACTTGATTGATCACACAATGGAGAAATTCACATGTCACATTTGGCATAGATAGAATCACTCAGATTGTGCAAAATGACAGAAGTTTGAAACATGTAAAGGTTAAGAATATGGTCTGTGCTGGATATAATTATGTACAATCAAAAAAGTGGCAATAGTGCTGGTTCTTCAGTCCTAGGCCAGGTCATAAGTGACTTAAAGGGACTTATTTTACCATTCACTACATTTCATTCATTCTGTATCAGCTACATTTATATATTTACATATTCAAACAGATAAAACACATTTTTCAATCGGTGTTGACAGGTTCGGCCTCTCAACAGCCAAATATTCTGATAAATAAACTTTTCCACATTTTCACCTGTACATGCTCCTCCACATATCTTCAACGAAAGACATCATTCTCAAAATCATGTTTCAGGACCAAAATTTAGCAATATATAAGAAACAATGCATCTTAACTGTCATAAACTTCAAACTTTATGATACAATATATGTGTTTTGCGATGTAAATGCTACAGCTTGGCACTTGTCCCTCCGATCAGAGCTGTATACAGTCCACTATGGATATTGATTGTGGGAGGCTCTGGACAGAGAGAGGAGCTCAGAGATCGTTGAGTGACTGTCAAACATGTAGATTTGACCTTGATCGTCTCCGAGGGCACGAGAGGCTCATAAATCCAGCCATTACCAAGTCCACGCCGCTGCGTTAACACGGCCGTAAAACTACATTGAAATATGGCCCGGTGTGCTTTTTTTTTGGGTCTGACAGGCCTCCGTAGAGACCCAACATCAACACAGCAGTAGGGGAAGGATTAAGCCCAGATAAAATTAATTATCTTTGCTTTTCAAAAGAGATAAATGTTCGCATCTGGCTGCACTGTTGTTGGCGGTAAATCAGGATTAATGCCGTAGTGTTTATAATGGATGTCAATGACGGCACACGATAAATGATTCTCAAAATTGCTTCATACAGTCGTCTTGGTGGCGCGACGGCGTTTTGCTTGAATGGATGTAAATTTTTTGTTTTTCCTGGATGTTCTAGAGTATGACAGTCACTTGGCTATGTTAGAAGTCACATCTGTGGAGAGGAGGGCGTTAGGATTAACGTTTTTGAGCAGTAAAAAAGTATGTAACAAAATTAAGTTTCGTATCAAGTGTCGAGAGGAGCCCGTTGAGGTGGCTCTGGGGTTTGTTTCAGAGGACCCTGGGCACGTCCCACTGGGCGGAGACCAGGGGAAGACCCAGGACATGTTGTGGGGACTGTGTCTCTCAGCTGGCCTGGGGACACCTCAGGATTTCCTCAGATGAGCTGCAGGAAGTGTGTGTGGACAGGAGAGTCTGGGCGTCTCTGCTCAGACTGCCACCCTTGTGACCCAGCAACAGATAAAGCGGAAGAAAATGGATGCATGGGATGATGCTGAGACACATAACGAAACAAACATACATTTAAATATAGTATTCTGGTAAATGTTTTGATAACTGTGTTTTTCATTTTTACTTTTTTCTTCATTTCAATCAAAAATTGTTTATTGATTTCTTTGTTCACCTCAATCAAAAAAAGGTCTGGATTTGGGTTTGGGTTTTTAACATAATGGAGAGAAAAACTATTTCAAAATAGTTTAGAAAAAACACACAAAAACAAATAGATCTTTATGGAATCTTTCACCACATGAGCCCTAAACCTTTTACAATAACATATTTTTGGAATATTCATGTCAGACAAACATGATTTTATCTTTTTGTATCCTTATTTGACATTTTGATCCCAAACAAATATCTATATCTATTCTTCTTCTTTTATGGATCAAATGCCCATCTTTTGAGACCAGTGCATTGTAGTTGCGTATTTCAAATGAACTGGCCCAGTGAAGCCAAACAGACACCAGCTCTAACCTAATGAAAAGCTCTATACACCTCCATGTCACTCCACATAAAAGAGACAATTCATGGGGGGCAATTATTTTGATAGCACCTTCTTCCCCCTGGCCCCTCATGAGGTCCGTGGCTGCTCTGTTCCACTGAGCGCTTCCTCCATCGTGCAGCATGTTTGTTACAATGTTGATAATTGGCTAACAGCTCTGGGAAAATGAAAATATTTTGGAAATGGATTGTAAGCCATAATCATCACAATTATAACTTATTTTGACATATCTTCTTCATCTTCATCTTCTTCTTCCTCTTCTTCATATTCTTCTTCATATTCATCTTCTTCTTCATCCTCTTCTTCATCTCCATATTCGTCATCTTCTTCATCTTCATCATCTTCATCATCTTTTTCATCTTCATCTTACATTACAACACAATTCAATGTATTCTTGTAGAGCCCTAAATCACAACAGAAGTCATCTCAGAGGACTTACCAAAACCGTTGAAATCACCAACACAGATCAGAGAATCAACAGTTAAAACACAGAAAGAATATAGAACACATGTTGAAAAATGTCATACATGTTGTAGAATGTTAAAGTGTCCTGGATCTTCACCACAGTCCTTCTAGTTGGACACTAACTGCCCAACAGACCCTCCTGCATCGGCAAGGAAAAACTCATAAGAAAACCCAGTGGGAAAAAGTGAGGAACCTCGGGGAGACCCATAGTTTGAGAAAGGGATCCGCTCCCACGGGCGGACGGGCTATATATCCAGGACCTAAGCTACAGAACGTGGACCAGCGGCCGTCGAACGTGGACAGGTCCGGCATCTTCATCATCTTCATCTTCGTCATCTTCATCTACTGTACATCTTCTTTTTCTTCTTCAGCCACAGTGGGGCGTTTGTGGCTGTAAAGTGCCAAGTAAAGTGCCAAACTGTCATTGTGTCCTTAGGCAAAACACTTCACCCACATTGCCTAGAATGAGTCTATCAGTTGGAGTTCATGAATATATAAGTAATGATAATGCCAAATGTCTTTGAGTGTCAAAACAACCTATATAAAATACATGTATATCTACGTTAAATATGTATATGTGTATAACAATATTTGTGTAAACTACTTATGAATGTAACACTTTCGAATTAATGAATAAACGTGAAAATAAAAATACAAATTATTCACAGGATATATTTTCTCCAAACGCTTTTTATCTTGAGTATCTGTAAAGCAATGCCAAGACTTTATCCATTTAAAAAAAGTTGAATCCAGTCTTTCATAACTGCCTTTTGATCAGATCAGACATTGAAGACTATTCTAAATCGCAAAACCATATTTCTATTTGCAAAGACTACAATAAAGTTAGCAAGACCAGCCCTTCACTTGTGAGTGCACTTTTCCATTGACCTTGTTCACCAAATGTTTTGTGTTAAAAAATGCAATCTGACTTCTTGTTCTGAACCCACATGAATCAAAAACCAATGTGCTGTAGATTCTTAAATCCGTCTTTCCAATCTCTACTGAAGGACTTTTCATGGACACATAGGTGCAGTGTGTGTCCATGAAGAGGATGCTGTGTGTTTGGGAAGGAAAAAGCTCTGACTATATTATCACAAAAAACATGCAAAACACAAATAGTAATCATTTGTAGTTTTAGTAGCAGTAATACAGTAGTTAGCTAGTAGATGTTTTTTTTTAAAGTAAGTTTTATTAAATAATCCATGCAGTTTATTCGGCACCTCTCACAGACTGTCACAAAGCACCAAAGCAGACACAGGGAGAACATGCAAACTCCACACAGAAATGGTCATAGAGATAGTAGTAGTAGTTGCGGTAGTTTAAATGCCATTCAAGATTAGAAGATAGTATTATTCCTACCATGGGAACTATAAGAATGATGATATTGGGTATATTTTAGATCTCCTATAGTCCAAACAAACACACACACACAAACACACACCTAAAAACACACGCACACACATATACCATCCAGTTAGTAATTCAGACCATCTCAAATTCAATCCCTTCCAATCCTCCAATTCATTTGCATTGCGTTGCTTACTAACTAACAAATTAACAAGTTTTGGCAAATACAATTGACTAGAATTGTGCCGAAAAAATGACCTAATCTGTCACAGCCAGTGTTGCCAACTTAGCGACTTTGTCGCTAGATTTAGCGACTTTTCAGACCCCTATAGCAACTTTTTTTCAAAAAAGCGACTAGCGACAAATCTAGCGACTTTTTCTGGTGTTATTGGCGACTTATCTGGTGTTTTGGCGACTTATCTGGTGTTTTGGAGACTCGTGAAGCACGTATTGTTCTGCTGTCCTCAACGTGAGCCCCTCCCCCGTCCCAAAGCACTTACAGGCGGCCAGTCTCACAGTAGCCTTGCGCAGCAGTCCCAGCTACAGTCTATGGGCGGAGCAGAGAGAGAGAGAGGAGACTCAAAAGCACAGGAAGTTTTCAGGCTGCTGCAGACTGAACTTCAGCTCCACCACCACCACACATCCAAAGCTCCCCGGCCACTCCTACCACCACCACCCCCCACTACCCCCCACTCCATCCGCGGCAGCTCTGTCCGTGACTCTGTTTTCTCTCAGTAGTGGGTCACATTAAATCATTTGTTATGCCAAACTATGAAAAAAAAACTTACAAAAATAAACCTAAGTAACTCTGCCAGAGTGTGTCTTTTGGGTCACTTTGCCGGTCCCAAGCTCGGATAAAGGAGGAGGGTTGGTTGTAGAGCTAGCAATTTCACCCTACATAACAATCTTTTGATTACATTTGCTGTTATAACATTTAACAATACAGGACAAAACTGATGTGTGTAATGTGGATCTAGACAAAGCATTAAAATCATTAAATGTTGTTAATGTTGAAATTATTTTTGTACATTTGTAGTTCTAAACATATTTAGGGTGTTTTTACTCACTTTTGTCTCTCCCACGACCTTATTCCTCTCTCCTACAGCGTCCGTTACAGTTATTTGCAAATGGCAAATTATGAAAATTAGGCGATGACGTCATTTAGCGACTTCTAGCGACTTTTGGGACAGCCAATAGCTACTTTCCTTACTGAGGAGTTGGCAACACTGGTCACAGCCGACTGAAAATTGGCATGTCATAGAACGTGAAGGTAATTGAGGCTCACTGACTTGTACAAAGCGTCAAAAGCAAAGGTCTACAAAGGTCTTGCTGTGTTCATTTTTCCTGCTGGGCTGAAAAGAACTTTGTATTAGGTCTGACGGCAGCACACGGTGTTCACATGCGCTCTGATGCACGGACCTTTGTGCGCTAAAAACGGTTCCAGAGAGAAGTATTTTGAGTCTTTGATGATGAGGTTTGGAGAAGTATGCTGTATACTTTTCCGAGACCTCTAAAAAATAAGAAGCCGTTTCATATAACGCTTTACAGGGCACTCAAAGACGCTTCACCTGTCATTATTCTTACGAACCATACACCGTGGTGATAAACTGCTGTTGTAGCCACAGCGGCCCTGGGGCAGAAACAAGGCAACCAGTAAGTGCCATCGGCCCCTCCCACCACCAGCTACCATTCACACACACACCAGACTCATTCCAGGCAATGTGGGTGTTTGGCACTTTACAGCTGCAACTGCCCCACCGTGGCACCTGGTGTTTGCAGAGGTCTCCCATCCCAGTACTAACCTAGCCCTGCCTGGTTAATACTGGCAACTGGGTAAGCTTCAGAGATCTGACGGGACCTGGCTTTCGCACGCAAGTATGGCCAATGGAGCAAATAGGGACAAATCAGCTGTGACTAATAATGCCATTCAAAAATAATCAGATTGGTTGTTGTTTCGCCAACGACAGATCCGAACCCTAACCCGAATAATAACTAACACATGAGATCCAGAGGGGGCGGACGATCACAGTCCATAAATGTTTTTAAATGTCCATGAATGTCCCTAAATGTTCAGATCATTTGAGTTATACTGTAGATTAGAAGGAGGTATAAGTATCTTCCCATGTTTTCTCATAAATATCTCCATCTTTTATATGTACCTTCCTTCATGGAGAAATTATAGCGGTCTCTGGACAGTGCGTAAACATGACAACATGAGAAACGGTGGATGTCGTTGCGCAGACCAGGCCACGTCAACTTGTTAATTTGGATTGACGGGTCAGAGGCCGTAATTTAACCTGGGTCGTTTTCCTGAGCATCCTGCCCTGAAGCGGAGTGCCTCTCAATCACACACGTCACACAAAGGCTTTAACACCACACCTTCCAATGCATTGTACTTCAGCCAAGGTCTAAAAGTCTTAACCATTGAACCATTTGGGAATTTTAAGAGAGAGATATTGGAAAAAATTTAACTTTTCTGAGCTTTTAAACATGTTACCGCATTCTTTCTTTCATCAAAATCATCAGGGTTTTTTTATTTATTTATTTATTTTTAGATCGATCCACGCGAATATCAAGAACTTTTGGATCAAATATGTTTACCATCCCTTCTGTCAAAAAGCTCCAGTCTGAGTTCATAATGTTTTCAATTATGATTTTGTCGATGAATCATCACATCATGGACAGAGCAGTTATTCTGCCTTTCAAAACAAAACTCTTTTGTTAGAAATTTATTTCAGGGATTTTGACGGTCAAATTCCGTTCTGTGCAACTGTGTGCCTTCAATTGTGTCTGATAGTTTCTCATTTAAGCTTCTTGATGGGAGTGTTCTTCTCAGCAACCATACATTTTCTACAAATTATTTCACCATCAAAAACTAAATTACTGAAGTACATTACATATTCTCAAGCTCATGTTTAAAGACAATGAACACAGATAATGCCATATCCAGATTTGCAGGCTGGGAGGGTCGTCGCCATTGATCTTATGCATAAAAGAGCCAAATACTTGCTTAAATTTAAACAAAACTAAATCAAAAAATCTGTGCCTTATTTGTTAATTTTGAAATGTTAAATGGCCCGTATCACTACAATTGTATGCAGGTTCTTAAAACGGCCAGTAGATGGCAATCATTACTATTGTTTTAGTGCATCAACAACACTGAGAACGTGTTGTAAGTTTTCTCCTGATCCTTGAGGTTTCAAACTCGCCACAGCTTTCCTTCTCAGCCTTTCAGCCTTCTCTTTGGAACTCACATGCATCCGCAGAGTAACTTCCCTGCTTTCAGCTTCTATGAGAGTGACCCAACGCCAAGTATTATGGACTGTGCGCATGTATTGGGGTTTTAGATCTCTGTCTGAAAAAGCCAATATTTTCCACTCTAACCTTCTTGACAGAGGATTCACCATTTTCTTTTCCCAATCAAAAAATTATTGCTCTTTGCACATGGAATTTCCCCCACAGTGAGACAAACAAAACCTCTCTTATCTTATATAACTTTTACAATGACGTATTACACCTTCTCACCGCTTTCACCAAACACGTTTCCAGCTATATCAAAATGGATCCATCCAGGTCCGAGTGTCATTTTTTTCCAGCCGATTCTCCCGGTGAATTACGAGCGTGGTGAATTTCAAGGAGATGGAGAAGATGGTGCTTTGACAGGTCGTACAGTTCCAGGGCCGAGTTTTTCCCGGGACCCATAAATCTACCCGCTCCCTTCCTCCTCTGCCTTTTGCGAGCCTTTTTTCCTACATCTGTTGCTGTATTTTTGGCTGTATCTTGACCGATGCGAAAGCTGAGATTTATGCCGCGACGCTGGGCCTATAGCAGAAAATTCAATTAAATGGAGGGACATAAATACAGCATGAATGAATAAGAGTCGGCGTGCTGCGTCGGCTCGCTTTGTCCACACCGGATGAAATATGATGAGGATTGTTTACATAAGCGCACTAAATCACACAAAT